GAACATTTTTCCGTTTGAAAACCTGCTCAGTGGTCCTGGCTGGTGTGCTCTCAAACTTCTGCTCAGGTATGTCTTCATTCTAACATTTTGTTTCTTCACTGCCCACGTTTTAAACCCATTTTTTTTGTCATTTTCAGAATTTTGAGAGAGAAGTAGCAGCAGTTCTTACAATTTTTATGCACTGTTTATTTTTGAGACAAATTAGATTTTGACTGTTAGGCAGAGCTTGAAGAGAGGACACGAACAGGACACAACCAATGGCTGTCAGAACTGCCATTGTACACAAATGTGCACAGGGTTTGCATTGACCAGCTGCAGCGGGATACACTTGGCTAGCTTTGAAAACCAAACTTTGTCTTCTACTTGTGGTGTATTCATCTTGATATGGTTGCTTTTCAAGAAGGAGGACGATTTCTGAGAATTTCAGCTCCCAAGCTGTTCGTTAGTCTGATGAAAATCTTGGTGTCAAGTGGTCCTATGCGATATCCTCTGCTCCTGTTGCATACATCAAGCTTCACATCCAGACTTTTGCTCCAGCAATAAATCTTTCCTGCCCTGCGATGGACTGACACCAGTCTCTGCTTGTTGCTTTTTTCTTCCCCCTGGATTTCAGTTTTTTATGACTCTGTTACTTTGGCTGAAATCTCTGGTGTTCTCTTTTGGCCCATGTTCTTCTGCAGATGGAAAAAATCCACGTGAGGCACAGTGCCTGTACTGCAGTGGTGGTCACATCCGTGTGTTTGCCGTGCTGTCCCAGCTAGTGACACATGTGCAGAACCTTAGAGATGTTTCCATAGATCCTGTACTGTTTTTGTGAGTAGCAAAGAGCTGCGTTGTTACTGACCTTACCAATAGCTCTCAAGATGGTAGTTACTGTTTTTGTTACGATTACTGGAGCTTTTGCATCTCACTGGCAGCTGGCTTCATGTGTTACGTACAGGTGTTGCTGGTGTTGTGTCACCCCCAGCCCTCTGATGCCTGCAAATTGACTCCAAAACAGCCTTTTCATTACAGGTACTGCTGGCATGCAGATTTCCCCTTCCTTGTTACTATAGTGAATATTTCAATACTTTAATGGAAATATTAATTCTATCTAGTATTAGAAATAAAGTATTATTTCAGAGGGTGATGATTTAAGTATTCATCTGTGAAGGAATTCCTTGGTGATGAATAAAATTGATTTTTAAGTAAAAATGCACGTGTGCAGTAAATATATTGGCATTGCAAATAACGTAGGGAATGGACACGTGAAATGGTTGACTGCTGTGGAAACAGATTGGCAGAATGTTACAAACTTGGAACATTGAAGAAGTCTTCCAGGAAACATAAGGAAAATATTCTTTGTTTAAAAATGACCATTTTCTAATATGTGCGTGTGAATCAGAATGCTGAATTGATGAAAAAAAAACCATGTTTTCTTTATGCTCACAGGAAAAAGACCCATTGTGAGAGGGGTCACCAGCTGACCCTACTGATGAAAGCTGTACTAATTCTGATCAAATGGTATCAGACATCTTTGCAGGCTTCTCAGCTGTAATTGCATTCATTTTTGTGACGGTCAGACGAAGCTGAGTTCACTTAGGCAGCCAGCGCCTTTGACCTGACTGTGAATGTGTACGAGTCAGAAATGGGAAGGATGACTTCTGACTGCTGTGTGAGATGCTGTTAAAAATGCTTTCCTGGGTTGTGAGTCCCTGCTACTACTTGTTTGGTACCTTACTGGGTGGATGAAACGCACTTTAGAAACTGTGTAATAGGTAATGCTGATGTTCTGTGCCGTCCTGCTGAGTTTCCTGCACGCGTGAACACTTGGAAACCTTTTACTCCCATTGGTCACTCATTTCATTTTCCTTAAAAAACAGAAACAATTCCGCTGTGTGTGCAGCTTCTCACCCAGAAGCAGTGATGAACTTCGTGGTATCTAGGTTGCTAGTTCTGTTAGAGTCATCGGATGTGGACTTTCCCAATCTCCTGTATCAGATTCGGGCCGCTGTGTTCCTTTGTACTGTGATGCTGTTATTACTTCTGCTTTAGAGCTGTTCTGTACTGAAGTGCCAGGGAACCACTGGTTGCCTTGTGTTCTGGCCACACTGATAGACAGCTTTCTGATGAGGTCGTTAGTCCTAAATACTCCTTCAGCATTTGGTGTATGGATGTGATATTCTGATGCGGTGATTAAAGGAGAAGATTAAAGTTGTATTTTTATCAAGTTTTATTTCTCAGTAACTATTTCAATGTTTCCTTCCACCGACTGATTTCCATTTCACTTGAATGAGACTGTGGTGTGTGGCAGAGGTTAGGCTTGTGTTTTAAGGGCTGATTTCCATGGAATTTTTGTTTTTTAAATCTGGTTGCGTTGTAGGGCAGTTAGCTGAGAAAGGTGCTCCATAGAGTTCCAAGGAGAAAACCTTGCCAATCAGACCACTTTTCCATTGGGCAAATGTGAAAATTTCCCCGAGATAAAGATTTTGCTTCTGTACTACTGTGTGTATTTGTCAGAAATAGTACTGCTTTCATCTCTTAAGTCATCCTGTAACTCGGTCCTGTGCTATCTTATTTTGAATGCTGTCATCCGTGCCAAGCAGTACATTTGGAATGCATGTATGCACATTCTTAAAGTGTTCAGGTTCAAGTTTGGGATGTATGTTGCACAACTGTATCTTCCAAGTACAAGAACAGAGAACTTCATGCTATTCTACGATGCTGACAGATCAAGAAAAGCAATAGAAATAAGTAATGGAAAAATTCAGTCTCATGGTCTTTTACACATGTGCATTGAATATTTATTTTCCTGAATCTGACAAAAGTAGATACTCATCTATAATGCATGCTGAAGTGTTCAATCTTGTATGAATGATCTGAATAGAAATAAATGATGTAGAATATTTATCACCATATATATGCTATCAATATATATATTATCTACATATCAGTCATCAGGATATGATCAACAGTGTTTCATTTCAGAAGAGAAAACCTTTCAGTCGCATTCTGAAGCAGATTTCTCCCCATGCTCCGTGTCACAGCTGCGCCATGCAACTGGGACAGGCGTTCTCTGCTGTACCACCACGTCACTGGGTGTGACTTCAGGCAATTCAGGATGAGCCATCTCAGCATCAGCTTTCTGCATCCCCTGGTGCTTTATCAAATCTGCCTTTTTTTTTTCACTCATCTTGGTTCAGTGCTGTAACCACTGCCTTTGAGAGTATGGTAGTTATAAGCAGCTGTAATTCCTGCATCAGCTTCTGGAGAGTCACAGTGAAATTTGGATTGGATTTTTCTGAATGAAGTTCTGATAGCAGAAAAAGGCAGAAGAGTACAAAGGTATCACAGCTGCAGCTCTAAGTCAGCGTTAGAACCGATGCGAAGTAGCAAATCAAAAGGGATATTTTTATCATCAAAGACCAAGAAAAAATTTGCAAAACTCAGTGTTTCCAGGTGGCTGCATCCTACAAATGTCTCTTGGTGAGTGAAACTGTGCATGACCTATGCAGGACACCAGGACCTATGCAGGAAGAAACTGCTGCTTCAGCACTTCCAACCAGAGATTCATTTCCAGGTTTTTAAGTAGACCCTTAAAAATGGATGAAGAACAAAATCTCCCCACAACAACAACAAAACCTGAGAGTAGGCAGCAATTGTGAGGAGATTAGAATCATAGATTTGCTCAGTTTGGAAAAGACCTTAAAGATCATTGAGTCCAACCACAACCTAACCATACTACCTGAACTCTAACAACCCTCCGCTACATCATGTCCCTGAGCACCACATCCAAACAGTTTTTAAACACATCCAGGGATGGTGACTCAACCACCTCCCTGGGGAGCTTATTCAGTGCTTAACCTTTCTGTAAAGAAGTTCTTCCTGATATCCAATCTAAACTTACCCTGCTGCAACTTGAGGCCATTTCCCATCATCCTGTCACTAGTGAGAACAATTTGAAATCACTGTGCTCAGTCCTAGTAAACTGGAGATGCCGAACTTCCAGATAGTAAGAGCATCTGTGAACTAGAGGGGATTTGTGAAGGAGGCACAGTCATTTCTGCAGTTCATCTTGTAATACAGCAGGTCCTAATGAGGCTGGTTGCTATTCTTCCATCAGTTACTACCATCTGTTAACATCAGCTTCAGTGAGGAAATCTGCACTGCTCTTCTGAGCAGGAGGGGTTTTGGCTTTTTTGCTGCTGCTTCTACCTTCTTTGCCTCTTCCAAATAAAGATCTTTTTTGTGTTTTCTTTCCCATGAGAAAAACTTCCATTGTGCAAAATGTCAACCGCTTGGATTTCTCCTCCCATTGAGCCACAGTGCTCCATGAGGACGGATTTTTGGAAAGCTAAAAACCACAGGCTGGTGCCACGGGCACACGTGTCCTTCTGTCCCTTGGGAGCACACATGACCTCACCACAGTCCTGCAGCCAGGCTGGAGGAAATCCCAAAGGTATTTGGTCACTAGCGCCATGAGTTCCCACCCGTTCTCAGCCCTGCCAAGCAGCTGCGGAAAGGCCAGGGACGCTCGCTCTTATGCTTGGCGCCCTAAGATACTGCATCAAGGTAAGTGGGCCCGGTGAGTCTGTCATATTCTCCATCAGGCCTTATTCAGGACTGAGACCCCCTCACCTAAGTTCAGGTGCTGGTTATGTGTTTGCAGCAAGTGGCTCGCAGAAGTTTACCATGATTCGGAGGTCGGTGGGTCTTTGCATAATTTTCACCTTCATCATTTTTTCATCATTTTTCATCCAATAAACATTTTACATGAAGCCTGGCTTGCCAGCCGTAGGACATAAGAGAGGATGCATCTCAGCCATGGGAGCCAGAGAAGGTGCACTGACCGCTCCTCATGTCATGTATGTATGTGCACTCATTTCCCATGGCAGGCAGGCTGGGGAGCTTGCAT